AATGGACATCATTGGAACTGTGCCGGCGAAGATTTCCAAAATTGATCCTAGCATGAAACAAACACTTGTAATTCTCATGGCGAACAATCTTCCATAACTTGTCGACACGGTACCACAACCCAGTGCTCCTAATAGTCCACCTAAAACGAATAGAGACGAAAGAGCGGCAAATTCGGCTTCGGTCATAGGGATACATTGTGGAAGTCCAGTACGAACAGTTGATTCGGCGTGGCTTTGTTTCTTGCATGTAATAACATCTTGCGGAGCATTTAATTCAGACTTGGAGAAGAACTTAAGTTAGCTATTGTTGGTAGAAGTGACAGATAGGTAGTATATGACGACATGTATGAATGTATGCCATGTGCTAGTTTCTGTCATGAGCATGAAAGCCATGCTATTACATACCAGATGAAAGCCAAATTGTAGAGGTCCAAGGGTTGAGATGAATATGAGAAAAAGTAGATAGGGAGTGATATCCTGAATACATTGTCTCATGCCTCCTGAGGCCATATCGAACTCAGTCCAAAATGTATAAGAAGTCAATGAGAACAATTCATGCGTTGCAAATGAATGGTAAGGCTTGTGAGGTTTGTTAAGATGTGTACAATATGGCCTGATATATTTAACCCTTATCAAGTCTGGAATGCTAGTAGTAGTTTGCGTTGGCCCGATAGTTGTGAATCAGGAGCTTTGTGTTACATTGTGGTTTGCTGTAAAGTGTCGGTAGTGAGACAACAGGTAGCTAAACATTGAAACGTTATGGAAGTGTGCTGATCGCGGCTACATGTACAGACTTATAGGACAACGTAATGGGAAAGCACAAATTCACCCTCAAATATATCAACTTCAAAATTCAATCAAAATTCCAATTTCAATCGAATATCATTTCAATCAACATATTGGATTTTTTTTTTTAAAAAATATAAAAATATATTTGAAAGATTTAAATGAAAAAAGAAAGATTTGAGCTCGAAAATTCAATAGTATAATTCCTTATTAATAAATATTTTAATAGGAAATTATAGAATCAATTATTAAGACTTTAATTTTTATTTCTTCTATTCAATTTCTATGGTTATATAAAATACTTATACTTAAAAACTATAAACTTCAATTTCGAAAGAATTCAATAACAATTCAAATTTTGATTAAATTATTAAAATCACTCTATTTGGTGTGAAATTGTGCTTTCTTTTTGCGTGTCCCGTGAGTCTGTGCACCCACTAATAGACTCGCTAATATAGATATTATCGATAAAGATTGATGTTTTAATGTGAAAACTACTTACGAAGTAACTTCTTCTACACAGATATAGGCATTCTTTCTCCTCTTTCTCTCTGGATCTACTAATTATCCTACCAATTCTTTTTGATCCCTCGAATTCGATAGTGATTACAGTTGTTGTACATCATCAATTAATACCTACCTAGTACTTCTTACTACGTTAGTCTATGACTACTGCCCTTTCAAAAGCCCTACTCCCTACACCCTACACCGTCCCCCCCATTTCTGCATTCTTATTATCCCAACTTGGTGGTTCATACTACCGCACCCCGCTCAGAACGACACAAGTTACTTTACAAGAATAAGGACCTGCGAAACCAGAACAAACCAAGTCTTTCGGTTGGACATACGGACATTTCGGATACCTGTGAGAACGTGGAAGGAATTGTCGATAACAACGAATGCTTACAAGGTATCTGCATCTTACAAGTGACAATCCACCTGCAGCATCGCCTCCGAAACACCAAAACTGCCAAATCGTCCTTCATCTCCCAAGTTAGTATAGATCTAACTTGTCTTTACCCGTTGATTCAAGAGGCTTCCCTCTCTAGGTCATCTCATCTGACCGCTATCTCCGAATCTCGCCCTACAGTTTCCCTTCCATCTTTGAGTATTATTTGGGGGTTACATCTCAACCGTTGAAAGACGCAGGTGCACAACTATCTCGTGTGACGCTATCATCGCTGTATCGAATCACCGCAGATATTGCCAATCATCATTCATTCATCATTCCATTGTCAGCCCCGGGGATTCCCATATCACAACACATCACATCGCATTAGCTACATGACAATTACATATCTTTTTCGTTTAGGTCATCTGAAATTGTTTCGTCTAATCGTTCGAGATTTGTAAATTTGATCGGCCGACATGTGTCTCGTCCTTCCATGCTTTTACTAAGACCTTAACTCACAACTTTCCTTTTCCGGAACTTTTGATATCAAGCGCGTCTCATACTATACCTCATAGCGTCTTACATACACATTGTACGATCAGGTAGTCTTTTTCGCGGCAATTTTGATCATCTTCCCCGATACGAAGCTAATTTTGAAGGGGGGATTCTTTGACACGCTTGATGCAACCGACTGTACTTACAACCTGCATCTTACCGACCCTGCACTACTGCAAAGCAGTATTACGCTACCTGCTAGCTATTCACACCCACACTCACACGCGCATTTGAAATATTCCTATTGCTATTCCCCTTGTTTTGCCCACATACGAGCTTGTCTAAGATTGTCTTGGTTGGGAGATTTACAGATTTCGATGCCCACTGAATCTGCATGCTAATCAAGCAAACCCAAGCCGAAGTACGCCGCCCCCGCCGTACGCACACGCGTTATCCACAATAACAATAATGAGCCTGACATCTAATCCACCGTCATCCGGCGGCCCATCCTCGATCTCCGCATCTAGAACCCAAATAAAAAGATCTGTTCAAGCTGTTTTTGAAGGTAATGTATATATATGGCTTTTTTCTTCATCACTCAAACATTATTACTTAATACATTGAACATTTTTCGTTTGGTTTGCTACTTTCCTCATCAACAGAGGCATATCCTATCAAAATCTTCGTCTCTGATCGGCACCTCAATAGCTCTTTCCAATATGGTTTGAAAAACTCTGATCTCTTGCTTCATCAAACATCAAATCATTGCATTTATCGTTTGATTTTCTGTTTCAAATTAAGTTATATCGATTCAATATGTATCCTACAAGAAGACCTCCTCCGTTTTACACCCCTAGTAGTTCGTTGTTATCCTACTTAAATTAGACTTTACAAAACTAACTGACAAATCCCAGGTACAGCTGAAAGATCAACCAATCCTAATTTGGGATATCAAAGTAAAGTCCGAGTTATTGATCGATATAAAGTCATTGGTTTCATTAGTTCTGGTACATATGGACGAGTTTATAAAGCGGTTGGGCGAGATGGACGACCTGGGGAATTTGCCATCAAGAAATTTAAACCGGGTGAATAGAGATAAATCCACATCAGCAATGTTGATTATAGACTAATATATCCTAGATAAGGAAGGAGAACAAATTCAATATACGGGCATTTCACAATCAGCCGTTCGAGAGATGGCCCTATGTTCAGAATTGAGTCACATGAATGTCATTCGACTCATTGAGATTATTCTCGAAGATAAGTGTATCTTCATGGTTTTTGAATATGCCGAGCATGACCTTCTTCAAATTATCCATCATCATACCCAACCTACTCGCCATCCCATTCCTGCTCCAACAGTTAAATCCATAATGTTTCAACTTCTCAATGGCTGTCAATACCTTCATGCGAATTGGGTACTTCATCGTGATCTCAAGCCCGCTAATATCATGGTATCTTCTGCGGGAGAAGTGAAGATTGGCGATTTGGGACTTGCTCGACTTTTCAACAAACCATTGCATTCTCTTTTCTCTGGTGACAAAGTTGTAGTTACGATATGGTATCGAGCTCCGGAACTCTTACTAGGTTCAAAGCATTACACTCCGGCCATCGATATGTGGGCTATTGGGTGCATTTTTGCGGAACTCCTTTCTCTCAGACCAATCTTTAAAGGCGAAGAAGCGAAAATGGATAGTAAGAAGACGGTACCATTCCAGAGGAACCAAATGCAAAAGATTGTCGATATAATGGGATTACCAACAAAGGAAAAATGGCCACATCTGGTACACATGCCGGAATACTCACAACTTTCCACTCTCTCAGCCAGTGGACATGCAAAAGCCGGGTACTCAAGTTTGGAGAAATGGTATTACCAAACTATAAATTCATCTCCCACCTCGGCTCCAGTATCGAATTCGAGTTTGGGTGGTGAGGGGTATAAACTATTGAGCAGCCTACTTGAATATGACCCTGAAAAACGATTAACAGCGCAAGCAGCATTAACGCATCCATTTTTCAGTACAGGGGATAAGGTTAGTGCCAACGTCTTTGAGGGGGTCAAAACAGAATATCCGCACCGGAGGGTTAGTCAAGATGACAATGATATTCGAACGGGAAGTTTACCTGGCACAAAGAGGAGTGGATTGCCGGACGACTCAAGACCAGCGAAAAGATTAAAGGAATAAATCCCGAAACATCATTTTTTATATCTATGCAGCGTATCAATCTTATCAATTGAACAACATTCTTTGAGGATCTCAGCATATGGCAGGGTTCCATTGTAACAATGGTACCTTCGGATCCTTAGATCGGCAGGGTTCGAATTTCAAAAGTGTAAAACATTGAGGGGTAGGGAAATCACGAAAAAAATTGCACAGCCACAATGCGAGTTTCTTAACTCTGCCGGCAATTTTTGGAGGGATTCCCAAGCGAGCACTTCATTGGCATGAATTGATATAATAACTCATATCAAAATTAAGTTTCGAAAATTGAGCATAATGACGGGAAATGCTTCGAATTATTTTCCCGATGATCATCATATGATGACGATGACGAGGGGCGTAATTGGGGCGGTGTCGATTGAATAAATGTAGCAGAAATACCTTATAAGACTTATTCGTCTCATTTGATTTAAGAACTTGGTAGTATTATCATTTCGCCGTTGGATCTCTGATTTCGATTGAGTCAGTCCAAAAAGGACTGTCAATTGCGAGAATTCCCCATTTGGTGGCAGTCAATCCCTCAAGACGACCATTCTAGTTGTCCATTACCCTTTGAAGGAATCGGATTCATCGTAGTATTCCAATCTGCATCTCAAGCTTTCAGGATGCGTCGGCCCTACACCTTCACTCGCACGTCGTCTTCTCATGCTCGCTACAATCCAATATACGAAGAAACAGAAGCTAAGAAAGCCGAAGCCAGCGAGCAGTCGCGATGGTCATTTCCATTCTTCACATCCGATCAACCCACAGGATACGAGAATGTAAAACCACAACCACGACAATCTAGTTCACCACCTCCTCGTACATCCGGCACTTTCTTTGCAACAAACCACAATACTTATTCGCCAACAAATAGCACAGATAACATTTACGATGCAGCTGAGAAAGCCACCAAACCTGCGAGTGACCAAAGAAAGCGGTTCTCCTTCCCTTCTTTTTCTTTCTTCAGAACGAACGACAACAATGGCGATGCCCTTGAAGTTGATGATGACTATGATTACCGGTCTAACTCGTTCAATGATGGAGAGAATCGGACTGATCCATTTCTCGACCCTGTAGACAACTCAAAGAAAGAGAAGAAGGAGAATCAGAAGCAGAAGCAGAAACTCCCTACATCAGCTAAAGATCCCGACAACAAGAAGCCAGCTAAATCCTGGCAAGAACGAGGATCGGCTAAGAGAACAGAAGCGAAAGAGGAGAAAGAGAAGGCCAAGGAGCGAGAAAGGGCCCGCAAAAGAAATAGCGGTTTAGGGTGGGCAAAATCTTGGTCGTTTGGAGGTGAGAGGTTTGGGGGAACAATTTTGGCCGATGGGAGTGGAGTGAGGATGCCAATCTTCAGATGTAAGGGTCCTTGTGGGTTGGCTTGTGGGTTTTGATGGTCTCTCGTTGACTGTATATAGAATGGGTACAGGTCGTATCTGGGAAATGAGGTACTGAAGGATTTGAGGGGACATGGCGGTGGTCGGCGGCGAATGGAGTTCAAGTGCTTAGCTATTGTGAAAGACAGATATCGACAGCATAGAATATAGACGAACATCTCATCTGCAACAACCAGAGCACTTGGAATTGTGACCATACTGAGATTCTGACCACAAGTCCGATCGTAAGTCACTGCGCAAAATTCGAGATTTGGCATCTGTACAATAGCTAAAATTACAAGGTTCTGATTTTTGTAGGTATGATGGTGATTTTTTCTACTTCGCTCAAGGTCTCAATTCAGCTCCGCTCTGCCTTGCCATTCCCATGTCCTAAATCCCTTCGGCACTCGCTTAATATTACAACTTTCTTGTTTTCCTTTCCTCCTATCGTTCTAGTTTCCCCTCTCTTGAGCAGAAACCTCAGACCTGCCTCTCCACGTCGCGCCACCTGATGGAAGAATGGAAACAAGAAAGAATCAATGGTGAATTAAAGGATAAGGAAAACGCTTGGTATCGTCGCCATCCTTGTAGGTAACGTACATATGAACAACCTCCCCATATTAAAAAAACGCAAGAAGTGCGCATTGGTGGATGCGCAAGTCAGAAATTAACAAAGAGAGATATGAGGAAATCCTGAGATTAGAGGATGGTACGAGATGTAATCGGAGATAGGCTGTTGGAAATGACGAGATGACAGTAATGAGGAGCCGTAAGGAGTTAAACGTCGTGAACGAGTAGATGTGACTCAAATGAATCGATATGGCATGCTACCGAAAGCCAAATATTCTGTCTAGGTATGCATATTTCGTGGAGGGACATATTTTTGGAGGATGTATCGTGTAGTCTGGGGTATAAAGCGGCGGTGAAATCTAATTAATGAGAAATGATATTATGCGTTTTGTGTTGGATTGTTAACGGCACTATCATTTTGTTTGTGGAGCAGGTCTTCCTTCAATTGTTTTCGAAAGCCAAGCCTGATATTCAACGTCAGCGTAGTCACAAAATCATCTGCGATGTGCCAATTGATGCATGGCATGAAGGAATAGAAAACATACCAGTCCTTCCATTAACCCCTCACCGGTAGTGGCACAACTTGGTACTACGAACCAAACCTTGTTCCTCAGTTCGTTCAACTTAAGTTGTTCCGTGACCTCGGGTGGCTTCATGGCTTCTCGATTGTCAGCTTCTCACCTGCAGTAAGATTGTAACCATTGAACTGTATCACTCACCTCCAGCGATATCCTGCTTGTTCGCGAAGACTAGGAGTAATGAATCTTGCATTTCTCTGTCATTGATAATGCGATGTAACTCTTGTTGTGCCTCTGCTATGCGTGCTCTGTCACTGGAATCGATCACAAAGATAAGTCCTTGGGTACCTATTATTTTGACGAATGTCAGTTGAAATCTGCTCTGACTCGTATATTTCAGATCAAAAGATGCTCAGTAGACAATCGAGTACATACCACTGAAGTAATGTCTCCATAGAGGTCTGATCTTATCTTGTCCACCGACATCCCAGACATTAAATTTGACATTCTTGTATGTCACCGTCTCGACGTTGAATCCAACAGTAGGAATTGTCGTAACATCTTGACCCAACTTCAATTTGTAGAGAATAGTTGTCTTTCCAGCAGCATCGAGACCTAACATCAACAGGCGCATTTCCTTGGATCCGAAGATCTTGCCCATCATTTTAGAAATCGCTCCTCCCATATTGACAGAATTTCAGATGTGCGAATGATGTGTACGATATTAATTGAAGCGTGGGCAATTCGAATATTGGCACAGAGTCGGGGGTGATTTAAAGGGCCTGCGAGGTTTTGCTAGACGATATGTGTGTAAAATAATGCTTGGAAAGGAGTGACGATGGAGCGATGAAAATGGATGGTAAAGTTCCAATGCAAAGATAATCAGATCGAGGTGTACCAGACCAAATGAATTGAAAATGGACGGTCCAATTTTGGGGGGAGGGGGAGGGCTTTTATTACAAGGCGAGGCTGAAATGATGATTGATGGTTGCTGAAGAAGAGGAGATGGAGTTGAGACTTCAAAGGATTGTCGCTTGGTCTCTTCTCTGGGTTCTAATTAAAGGTGGAGGACAGAACCTGTAAAGATGGAGAGAGTGTTAGCAAAGTCGCGTAATGATGAGAAGAAGCGGCTAACAATTAATCGCGAAAGCACTTGTGGTGCCAGTATTGGCTTTTTAATTGAAAGGAAAGAAATCACCTTGTCGAGGTATACTCAGTCGAGGTAAAGGAATGGGGAATTGGAATGAGAAGTAATAGGAGAATAATACAAAGTATAAAATGTTCAAGGTCTTTGACATTCGAAATGATTTTCCTTCCCGGTATTAACCTTATCGCTTTGCCAGGTAGAGACGTACTCGGTAGTTTGAAACGGAAGAATCAAACAATACAATGGAAAAAGAAAAGGTAAAGGTAATGAGGGATGGTATCTTTTGAATCTTGGAGTTGAAACGAATATCACCAATGTTAGAGATTACTTCCAGTGGTGAACAGTGATAGGTTGGTTCAATTAATCCAAGAGATGAAGTGAACACTGAAGATTGAGGACAGGACTGAGGACAGGACTGAGGACAGGACGAATAAGGACCAAGAGCTAATCAGAACTGAAGATTGAAAAATGACTTATTAAGAGATAATTTTATTGTCATTGTTACTACTATTATTATTATTATTCTTATTATTACTCCTCCCCACCTAATCGTACTCGAAATACTTTCATGATCGATCCATCAACCATCAACCATCAAGCCCAATTCCCATTTCCAACGTTTGTTTTGATTTTAAGGGGAAATGTAAATTAGGTAGGTACGTGCACCCGGTGGTGCTTCAGAACGTGATGAGTAATCAGTCCGTCTCTTAGAATTACTTATATCTCCCTCTCCTCCATGCCAGCCATCACAAGTCAAACTGTCAATGTACTTGTGAAGCTTTCTGCCTGTGTGGATTTTACCATATCTGATCTCACAAACGGCTGAAGATTGTTCAAAGTGAACTTGAAATTGGGAGGCTAAATTGTCGGATCCCATTATGGGATGAATCAAATTTGTTAAGGGGTACAATGTGTTGAAGTCTACCCAGGGAACACATGTTTATTACTCCGTAATGAGTGTGTAAACGAGATAGAATGGTCTAAGCATATGGTAATGTTCCTCTCTATTACACAATAACATCCGTCTTAAGTATCGAAATCACCCCGGCTTGATGAGGCTATTCGGATGATACTCTAAATTGAGTACCGGATTTCTAAACCATGTGGATGAGGGGCACAGTTTCGCTGCTTTCCGAAAAATGAGACATAAATATTAAATGCTTTGAAATTGGTACTTGAATTAATTTTGTCTGCTTCAGTGCCGAAAAGTCCAGTACATCGTGCTACACCTTGCGAACACCGGATGGCCCTCTCCGTAATCTAACAAAACAAAACGCCCAGTTACAACAAACTTGTGTCCTGTACACCACATTTGTGGAGAGTAATGATATAGCCACCATAAACTCCATCTATCCCATGTAAGATATCAACTGTCAAATGCTTTTTGGGGTATCCTTATTCCAATACTCCTGTACCAAGAGAGCTCCACAGAAGAAGGGGAAAAGAAGTAACGCCAGATAACCCACCAGTGCCTCTAGAGTCCGTCCTTTGAAGAAAAATAATGCCTGTACTGCTATCCTAGCCTGAATGATCAAGAACAAATCGCCGTTCGACTTCCTTTGTAGAATCTTCATCTCCATCAAATATCAACCTAACCCTATTGCCATCGTCAAGCATTGCTTTAACTTCCGCTCGGTAAAATGTGGTCGTCTCGGGATAAAGAGCGAGGACACGCTTTCCAACTTCGTAGGGTCCAAGAATGACGTCGTCTGGTGGAATTGGGCACATTGAAGACGCGGAGGTAAGGATTGAGGATTTATTCCCTTCATCAGGAGCCACATCTTCAACTCTGTATCTGCGACTCTTGCCATCACCAATAACTTTTGCAACCTTTCCTTGAATCCAATCCGTTTCAGTAAAGGGAGAACCAGGTCTCGGCTTGAACGCCACCTCTTGTCCCTTGGAGAATTCGATTTTCTTTGTGCCACTAGTACCAGAAGTTGTAGATATATTATTAGTATTAGTACCCGCAATACTACCAGTATTAGCACTAGTACTAGGCTCTTCATTCTCAGATTTCCTAGAAACATCTTTCCCCTTCGGAGGTAAACTGCTGGTTCTGCCATTTCCCATCTTTCGAACATGTTTGTTTTCTGCCGGAGAAGGAACAGGAGAGTCGGTAGATCCTACATCATCGGTAACACTTGATCTTCCATGAGATTCGCGGGAATTGGAACCTCGCTCTGCTTCGTTACCTTTGATCAAGGCTAAAAGTATCGACAGTTTTTCAATAGTTTGTCGTAGGGCTACTGCTGTAGACTCGGAGACTTTCACGCCTTCTCGAATTTGTATGTCGAGCTCTTCTATTGCGGCCATGGTAGGTGCTTCAATCTCATCAACACCAAACATCGTTGCGGATCAGAATCCATACTCACGTAAACCAATCTTTATTTGTTCAGCTATAGCGGTTTCTTTAGTGATGATGGCTTCCGGGATATTTGCTTCAAAGATTCTCTCGTCTGCTTTGATTTTGGCTAGAGCTTGAGTGATCTCGCTCCATAAGGCTATCTCTTCACCCCTCTCATGTGTTCCGGAGCGAACTCCACCACGCGCTTGACGTCGACCAGCAGTTGAGGCAGACATTATCTTTTCGTGGTACCCGTCTGTCAACTTAAGTTCATCGATCAGGGTCCGGCTTTTTCTATCTTGCTTAGACATGTTTTAGCAAGAGACTCTCAGAGTAAATAACAATGAACCAAGAAAATAATGATCAAAAGTAAATAATTATAAACATGTCATCCCAACTTTTGTACATGTTCATAAGAAGAAGATAGAAGCCAAACATCCAGGATCGTGGTGACTTACTTGGGTTGTGGGTATTCTGACCCGCACCTACTTCAAATGAGGAATAAGTCGAGCGTCTGATCGTGCAATGGAAGCTACAAATCAAAATTGAATTGGAAGTTAAATATGGCAATTGAAAACGCATCAACAAGGGGTGGAAAGAGGGGATGAATGGTGTGATAGAGTAATGTAGAGCGTAGGTATGGCGGCAATAGTAGAAATGGGTGTTGAATGTTGTGAATGAAGGATACTAGGTAGCACGAGGCTTTAAGTTCGGAGTAAGAGTAGATAGGACCCTAGTAGACGACTACTGGAGCAGAGATATTAAAGAACTTGTTAAAGATTAGGTAAATCCTTGGTTTCGATTGGTCAGAATGCCACAGAATATTAACAATAACAGTAGACGCTAGCACAGAATACACATACCAATGCCAATAGATACCTGTCCAGGTACCCACGTAGGATTATGTACGAAGTAGGTATGTGTGCGGGTATGTGTGTACGAAGTATGGAGTAGAAGACAATCAATCGATAGGGAATTATTAGATAATCTTCAAGATCAGCATTTACTTCAGCCTTGTCAATTAACCTATAACAATTGGTCGGTGGAGTTAGCGCGGGGGTTGATTGAAGTTGGGTGACGTGCAAGCTATGATACTGAACAGAACTATTCTGGAATACACACTCCATACTCTTCCTCAACAGTATTTGCCAGCATCAATGTCACTTACTACAACGAAGTAAAGAAGAATCGATTTGTCAAATATCCCATACTACGGATCCAACAATCTACACCCATTAATTACTCTCCCCATAGCCACAATGCAAGTTCCGTTGATTAGGCTTCAATGCGGAGTCAATAGCTATGATTGGGGTAAGGTAGGGAATGATTCAGCGGCTGCAAAGTTTGCTGCTGCTACACCTGCCGATGATTTTTCAATTCAAGAAGAGAAGCCATATGCTGAAGTAGGTAATTCTTCGTATTCATGTACATAACTTTGGAACTCATTCTTCATAGTTGTGGATGGGAACACATCCTTCAAATCCTTCCAAGGACCTTAGCACAAAACGAACACTCCTCGATCTCGTTCAAGATAATCAAGCACTCCTATCTAAGGATGTCAGTGATAAATTCGGCGAAAAGTTACCATTTCTATTCAAAGTCCTTTCGATAGGAAAAGCCCTCAGCATTCAAGCGCATCCAAACAAAAAGCTCGCGGAGCAATTACATCAAAAGGACAGCAAAAACTACCCAGACGATAATCACAAACCTGAAATGACAATTGCCATCACACCTTTTGACGGACTCTGCGGATTTAGACCTCTCGCAGAAATTTCGCATTTTCTCTCAACAATTCCATCATTGAAGAAATTAGTTGGGGAGTCCGAAGCGGAAGAATACCAATCCGCTGTCAAGGGACAAGAAACATCGGATGGATCAGAGGACGAGGAGAAGAATAAGAAAGCGCTGCAAAAAGTTTTTACTGCATTGATGAACGCAAAGAAGAAAGATGTTGAGAATGCCAGTGAGGAATTAGTTGCTTCAGCGGAAGAAGAAGGGGAGAATTTTGCCGGAGGAGGGGGCCCATCAAATGAAGGAAACGAACTCGCAGATCTTGTCATCAGATTGAACAAACAATTTCCAGGCGATATTGGACTATTCGTACAGTTCTTCCTGAACTACGTCAAACTCGAAGTTGGAGAAGCAATGTTCTTGAAGGCGGATGATATCCATGCATACCTGAGTGGCGATA